TATATATATATATATATTTATTTATTTATCTTAAACCTGAAATACAATTTATATTTAAATACACACACACATATATATATATATATATATATTGGTTTTAAATATGTTTTATTATCAATTTTAATTATATATAATAAATATTTAGTTTGTAAAATACACATACTAAAATACTTGTCAATTGTCAATTTATATCACTGAATCTAACTGGGTCATTTCAAAAAATTGCCATTTCGTGTTTTATTACACTTAGAAACATACTAAACGGATTTGAATAGAGCCTAAGCCTGATTGAGTTGAAGAACCCGCAATTGTTATTTTAATATAATTTTATTTTATTAAGGAATAAAGGCGGCAAAATGTTACAATGCTATTTAAGCGTGGTATAACTATAAATAGTATTACATCTTTCACTTTGGTCTTTAAAAGGGACATTCTTCTATATACGCTAAGTTGACATGACGTTTGTAATTCAGCTAAATGAAAAATGACATATGAAGCATACAAATATCCAATTCATATAAAACTTATAATTTATGCAACAAAGAACTCGTATAGAGCAAGCCTAGAAGAATTTCCGCTTTGTTAGAGACTGAGGCCTACGAAAGTCCAGAAGTAGCTATCAGCTTATCATCATGCAAGTCCATCCACCACATTCACCAAAGCTCAGGAATAAGTAGTGTGGAGTAATGCTTCTTCAGTTCATGCTTTCACTCCCAAAAGTAATTAATGTTAAAGCATCCCTGGATAATTATAATATCTCTATTGTATGACAAGATAATTGGCATCACTATGGAAAGCATCACCAGCAGTAGGAGGTAAGTTTTTGGGAGAAATATTTTTCCGGACTTGGGCATGAGTCTCTGCTTCATGCTGAAACATCTTCACTAATTCTTGCAGCTCAAGCTTCCTAACTTCAACCTGTTCCTCAGCAATGGGGTTTTTCAGCCCAAGGTAAATCATGCCAACTACAACCAGCACTACTGCCAAAAAGACTAGGATGGCTGTAAAAACACCAAATGCATATGGTGTATTTTCTCCCCCAGGTATTCCATCAACGTTAATCCCAAATAACCCAGTAATGATGGTGAGAACAACACCAACGCCACCAAACACTGCTAAGTTATGGGTTACCCGAAGGCTTCTATCCTGGATAGAGATTCAGTAGATGCAAGACAATTATCATGTTAATCTAGGGTGAGCAATATAAAGTTGTTCTAGCTACTGTCTGAAAATAAACAAAAGCATCCTAAATGAAAGTTCTGAAACCTGCAACCAAGCTCGAACAGTGCTTTGCATAACATCTTGAATGGTAAACAAGCGACCGCGAACTGCTTCTTGCTCCTCAATCATTTCTCTTGTGCTCTTTTTTATTCCCTCTAACAGGCTTCTTGCTCCATTTCCTTTTAGATGTTGGAGAAGCTCAAAGACAATCTCCTCTCTTGCATGGAGGGACCACTTCACTCTGATAACCTGCAATGAAACACAAAAGTTGTAAGGAGCTTCCGTGAAATGAATTTGGCTGGTTTGAATTGTCATTAAAACAACGAAATCAACATAAGGCAGAAAATTTTGCTCACTTTGGTATTGCTTATGCTTTTCAAAGCTATTTACAAACGTGAAAGATTAAAATTATACAAATAAATAATTTGTGGAATGTTATTATTATTATTAAAATGTATCTTTTCATGATTGAAGGACAAAAAGCACATGCAAAACATTGTTGACAACTAAAAGTCCTAAAAGCTTAAGCTGTTAAGTAGCAGCCCTTAACTCATTAATCCAGCTTCTGGAAAGGATAAGCAATAAAAAGCCTTATCTGGTAAACATCTATAAGGAGGAGGAAGATTGTGATGCAAGAGATATGTAATTATTAGGGAAATGCTATATTGGTATTATGTTAGTTGTTTTACATAAGTACAGAGACCAGCTGACTCTTGGCTTCGAAAGAGTTGTTCAGCTTGACAACATAAGAAATGTTTTCTTTGTTTGAATTCGGCTCAATTTATCAAGGTGAAAGTTACATTTATCAAAAGTTGAATTACACGAATCAAAAGTAAAAATGAGACAATATGAACTAAAGGAAAAAATGCGATAGCTCATAACTCAATTTAACTATCAACTAAACTAATGTGAATATAACATATTACATATATATGAAGTGCGTGTGAGAGAGAGAGAGACAGGGGAGAGGGTGTTTATGCACCAAACAGTCTAGCATTTGGCCTAAGTTCAGCTTAATTGGTTTATGAATGAAGTTCATTTGGCTAATTAACAATAACAACGCACGTCTCAAACTACTTTTAAGCTTGTTTGGTTCACTGAATCACTGCCATCCTTTAGAAGCCTGATAACTTTAGACCAGCTGCAGAAAATCAATTATCATGTGCTTCAGTGGAAATAGTTATATGTAGCTCAATAAGGCTAACGGGCATTTTCTAATCAGTAGAATTTATTTTGACCAACTTGCACGTCTTAGTGAAAATTAAAATTGTTTAGTAACAACTACGTCAAATACATCTGTAACTTTAGTTCAGTTGTATCCTCCCTCTAGTCCTTACTTTATATAAGAGATGTAATGTCAAAACAAAATTCACATGTCTAAAATGATATTTGAATCTCTTCCAAAATAATTGTTAGAAGGGTTCTGACTCTGCTAATGAGTGCCCCTAAGGGCACTGGTCAAGAAATAGAAAGTTTTTACAAGAAATCATGGTGAGATTGCACTGAAATCATTGTTTCTCTTTTGGTGGGGGGTGTTGGTAACATTTTTCCATGAAAGCTTTCCACTTTTACGTTTTTAATTCCTTAACCGAGCAATGCTCTAAGAGCACTTGTTAACATTGTCCTTGTTAAAAAAGTAGAAATACCGAATACCTACTAAGGTATGAGTAAAGTATATCACTTCTCCAATTAAGGGGCAATTTCAGGAGATAATTACTTGTAATTATTGCTGTGATCAATATTCATCAGTATAAAAATCCTCCAGTGTTGTCTATTTTAGGCACAGTTCCAATATACTCTTATATCATGTATAATTTTATAGGTTTAGGTGCACTACCAAATCAGCTAATCTGCAACGGAAAGAATCGAAAGATCAACCTGTGAACTGTTAGCATCCAACCATTTAAAAATCTCAACCCTCATTTTATCCCGTTACTGAGTGAAAATAACCAAATAAAAATGCAATCTATCCGAATCAAAAACCCAGCAAGTTGTCTAAAGACACCTTCTACATAGCAAGAATGAACATACCTGTGTTGATAACTTTCTGATTTCTTGATTTAGGATTAAGATGAAAAGATTCAAATCTTCTTGGTTTCTCCTAGTCAATGGGAAAACTGTCAACTTAGTGCAAGACATTTTATAAAACTGGAATTACTTGAATTCACACACACATTGCACATTTAAGAACCTGTTCATAAACTTCAATTCAATCTCATCTGCTGCCCCAAATATGGATTTACGGAATAACCTGAAAAACTAAATTAAAATGTCAAACCAAAGTAACATGACTTGAAGTTTACATAAAATGCAATAGGAAAAAAGAAAGCACTGGAAGATCAATGTAAGCATGGGGTACATTGTTCATCTTTGCAACCTACTTATCTACAGGACATTCCAAAGGAAACAAAATATATGCACATATAGTCGAAGTCAAGTATGTGGTGGTAAAATTCAGTAAATCTAAAGTATAAAAACTAACAGCAAAACTCAACAAAACCTAACCTGGCAATCCACTTGGTTGAGTTAAAGTACAGGTGGTTTCTCAGCAGATGACCCATATAAAATTCTCCTACTTTTGGATTGAAAGCTTGTCATTAGTGTTTTTGTCCCTCTGCTGAATAATGTATTATTAATTGAAATTCACTACATAAGCAATTAATTTGAGGAATCCATGTCCCAGAATCTCATGGCTTCTAGAAATTCATCTATAATCAACTCTAAGCAGGTGAACACTTTCAATTGTCCTTTTTCCTATTCATTTTGTACCTATTTCTTCATTTCCCATTTTTGTACATTTTTTCCTTTTTATACATGTTCTTTTCCTATTGATGCGTAAAAGATATACTTGTACTGTTGTACACATCAAACAAAATATGGACCATCCAAAATTCAAGCATTGCAGTAAATTAGAAGAAAATCATAAGCATGTGCTACAATTATTTGCATGGGAGAAAAGCAAACATGAATGCATGATATGATTCCAAAACATGGACCACTTTATTTTCTCAAGTGTGGCATGTAGTAAAAAAAAATCCAACTAATAAGAGCAAAGATCAGTTTAATCTCCAGCAAAATAAGAACAGAAAAAAGACTTATTTATCAAAGTTTATACTTGAGAATAGAAAGTAGAAACACATAATGAGACAGGAGACCAACACACATATCATAAGGAATCATGCGTTAGTTGGTCCAGCAGCCCAACTCAGAAATAAGAGCATAGATCTGTGGGTATTGCAGCAGAGACTTCTAATACATTTCTCTTCTTTCTTAATGGTCTCTGACATGTATTGTTTTATATGTGATCAAATTAATTGTCTTCCACATCAAATATGAAGGAAAATCCTGTCATTACCTATCATCCCAACGTGAGAGGCGGCAAGCAAGCATTGCTATAACTTCATGCACCGTTCTTGGCACATTATACCCTCCAGCAGAAAGAAGCTCCTAACCATAGTGGGGCACTGAATGGATTAGAATAGAATTACATCTTTTTAAAAGAATATTAACGTGTGCTAGAAGCTGGAGAACAAGAACAACCTGAACTTCTGTTATACCCAGAACATTTATCGATGACACTTTTCCCTTTATATGCATTACAGTTACAAGGAAGTTTTGTGCTTGCCAAGACCTAAGAACAATTGGAATGTCATCTTCTTCAACAAGAGGATCACCTGCTGATTGTCCCAAGAGCTCAAATAAGAGGCCTCCCGCAACTCTGACAGGGACCTACAAATAAGAGTAAATTCTAATCAATATTGAGATGAAGAGTGCTAGCAACACACTCTTCTAAGTACACTATTTTATTAGTTAAAATTATTGAAGACTACAAAAGCAGGAGAGAGGGTCATTCAATAGGAGTAAGACTCACCAATTTTTGTGATATTCAATAAATTTCAACTAATGAAAATCAGTGTGTTCACAAGAGTGTGTCAAAAAATGTATTGCTAGCATTTCTCATATTGAGATAGAATGGTTTCTGAGGAAAAGCCACTGTGAGGTAAGTCATTGCAGGTTTTCTTTGGGGTGCAGTACAAGTAATTGGATGTCTACTTAAATAGCGAGATTACTTTCTTCTATCTACTGGCTGTGTGCCACTAACACAATCAAGCCCAAGGTATAATGCCTAAGGCACCCTAGGTTTATTTTGTTATTCTTCTCATTTACTTTTTTGTTTCCTTGATATACAAAGCCTTACCAGATCTTATTTTCTTGGCAAATTCCTCAAAAATTCACCACATGACATCCCTAAAAGTTTCTTGCTATAATCTTTACTTGTTTTAAAACTATCCAAGTTACTGCTAGGTCTCAAGCTCTTGATGCTGTTTTTTCCCACTTAATAACTTCTTTATAATTTTCTTGAAAATAACTTGGGGACAGTTGGTCTCTATTGTGCTGCCACACGGGCTTTATTCTAGTTTGTACCCATCAACTAGAAATCCAAATTTCCACCTGTTTTATTTCCACACTTATTTTATCCTTAAAACCCTAATCCAAATCTGATGAATTCCATATCTATAGCTGTTTTTCTATCAAGACCAACAAACTAAGGAAGAAAAGACAAAATCCAATATGTCACTTGCTTATCTTAGTGAATACATGACAAAGAAACCACAATCAAACATAAATTTTAATTAAAATCTCATCATACATACAAAGCCTCATGTATGCTTGATGGGGGCATGTCAATGCGTTTTAGCAAACATAGATGATAGATCCAAATGTAGATTTCCAAATGATTATAATTGTTAAGACTATCAACTACCAATGTTGAACATGCATAGTACCTCATAGAGAAGGTGTTTCATCCGCTCACTTATTAGTCTACTTTCATCCCTCAAGGCTAAACTAACAGCAGGATGTAGCCATCGAGCATTGCTGAGCCAAGCCTCAACAGTGGGGTGACCTGCAGAGACATGGCACCACCATATAGGCCCAGCTGGACGCTCCCAATAGGGAGCTGCCAAATCTGCTACAGTAAAATCATCTTCAGAATCCTCAAATTCAAATTGATGAGAAGACCAGACAGCATCAACCTGAACTGCTTGGACAAGTTCTGAAATTCTTGCCCATCCAATTGGTACCCAATTACCACCCTCATACTTTTTAGATTGGTTAGCCTTACGGTCCTTATCATCATCAGAGCCACCAAACAAACTGTCCCTTGAGACATTTACAGATGAAGTATCTGAGAGCTTGTTTTTGTCTAGTCTCGCAGAAGAAGCCTCCCTTAAACCATCTGAAGGGGCATGCAAATTTGAATGTTGGTCATTAACATTTAGTCTATCTGTGGTCTTTGATGAGGACCACGATTTAACTGATCTGTTTTGTCCTCGAACATATTCAAAAGCACAAATAAGTCCATCTGTCCATAGGTCATTTCCGTGATTGGAATCTCTACCATGATAAGGTTTATGGCTATCTGGTTTCTTCATTTTTCCCAAGGAATGTGATTGATCTTCTGTATCACTCATTTTCTGCTCTTCACGAAGCCAACGAGAGCTTTTAAGTTAGCTCTTCACGGGAAAAGCCACTCTTATATATGAGAGGAAAGTTACACCGGCATGATGTTCGAAAAACTTCTTCTGATTACAAGACAGGATTTGACAATCAACATCAAGCTTCCCTGACTTACCACAAACCAATGCTACAATTTGAATGGAAAAGGTACTAATTTTAGAATAGGATAGTACAATACAGATATTCTTACTGAAACAAGAAGATGAAAAGGCAGAAAAGATACAGAAAATAATTTAAACAGAACTCATCATCTATTTTGCCATGGTAGTTAACTAAAGTAGGAGATCATGAAAGAAACTCTTTCAGCGATGGCCTAAATCTGACCCATCAATCACCAACACCCATCAAAAGCAATCAGTCATGTAATCTATTTTCATGTTTAAGAGAGGAAACAAGTTTGGGTGATTAATAACTTTAACGAACCTTCAATTTAGGTCTACTGTTGTTTATTACCCTTGTTCCTAATGACTAAGACTACAACAAGAAGCATAACAGTAAAGATGCATATGAGGAATCACTTTTTTATATTTCAGCAGCATATGAAGATGCATAACAATCCGTGTAAAAGCAGCGCGTAGCATATTATGAAATCCTATGCATTGTGAAAGCATGATTAACACGGCATTACAGAAAAATATATTTCAAATCGATGCTTTTGAACAACAAATAAATCGTATCTACCAACCAAAGAAGCTAAAGAAAGGAAACTGTAAACAATTGGGAAATTCGATTTGAGAATTGAAAAATACCAGAGGCAGAGGAGAGTGGATCCTTTGAATCCTCAAACGAATATTATTACAAATTAATAAAAGAGAAAGCACGCAGAACCCGAGCGATGCCCCTGACAGAGTGACACTGACACACTACACTATACTACTCGTACGTAACTTGTTGCAACTTCAGATATTTGAATCACATTGTTACTTTATTTTACTGTAATTTTAATTTAACCTGTTACGCACTCAAGCATCTCTTCTTCTTCTTTTGTTTTTTCTCTTTTTCAACTTCCGAATCTAAAGTCACTTTCAACTTTTTCGTTACAGCGGATGCAAAGATGCATTTATTCGGACTTCATTTTTCTGTGACTCTATGCTCAAGTGAACCGAGGAAACTCAGACTATATGTATTCTTATTTCTTAATTTACACTATTGTCCGATACTTTGTAATTAATATTTTTAAACATTAAATTTATTAAATTCTTTTAAGAGAAAATATACATTTTTTTTATATTCTCGTTCAATAACAAACTATTATATATAATTTGTTGATTTTGATTAAAATCACTCAATAATCACATCAAAGTTAATTTTTTGTGAGTTAATGAAGTAAAAAAAAAATAATAAAAACCGCGTATGGTATTAAACTCTAATTTAAAATAAGTCATGTTTATAAAATATTTTAATTTAATTTAAATTGATGTAATAAGATTTATTTTTTCATGTTGGACATTTCTTAATTTTAAAAGAGTTCATGGAAATCAACATAATATATTTGTACGGATGCAGACGAACATTTCTTCTTTCCAAAACACAAACAAAAACTAATAATTTGTTATTTTTTCATTCAACAACCGTTTGAAAACTTTTTTACAATAAACCAAACATACCATAATTCTATTATGCATGTATCTTAGTTGAGCTTTAAGTATGGAACGTATCACCCCTATATATAGTTCAATCACTGTTTTTTTATATTCAAATAGACTCGCTAAAACAAATGATAATAGTATCTCACACTAACTCATGAGCATACTCATGTTTTTCGTAGTTTCACTCAATCAAAAGACTCAAAGATATCACTTTTATCATATAGAAACATGCAAATCATTTAGGTTACTCACCCATGCATAATTTGTAGTATATTAAATAAAGTTTATAATCCTTTATTACAAATCATGATTTTGATAAAACTAAAGTATTAACAATCTTCATGTCAATAACTGACTTAAGGCAAAATGAATAGATTGTTAAGACAGAACAATTTATAACTCATTAGTTTTCATTTAGCAAACAAATAAAACGTTTTAAAATTAAGACAAAGTTACAAACACATGTTTGTTTTGCTGTTTGCAGTAAGCAAACATCTATTTATTTAAATACACCGAGATACATGTTTCATTGTTTAAAAACATTGGAACCTGTGAATAATAATACAAACACACCCAAGACGATAAGAGAAAATGTAGCGTTTCATTAAAACGTAGTCTTAGGATTATTTGCTGGCATGGTCTTAGGCCCAAAATCGAATAGAGTCTCACAAGTACTTTTAGAAATATTACAGAAAAATTAATTTTTCTTATGATTATTTGATAGTATTTTTCTATTCTACCAATTATTTTACCCAAACAGAACCAATACCTCAATTGTACGATATCAGTGTAAACTAGTACATTGGTTTATTTTCAGTTATGAATTTCTTCTATGTCAAATCTGATCGTAACCAAACCAGTGGAGCCTTACATTTGGGTAGAGCGCAAACATGTTAACTTGTCAACGAAACCCTTCGAATGTGTTTATATATCACAGCACAAGTGAGCGGAACCAGTTAACTGGTGAGAATACTCTCCGAAAGAGATTTTCCACTATAATCAGGTGACATTAAAAAAAAAAAAAAAACGTACTGGGTAAACCAAATTAGCACACTTAGTACCTACGTTAAACATGACGAACATAATTATGTAGAATACAACCTCGTGGCAATGGGCTCATGGTCTTCTGTAGAGACCAAACAATGATACATTAAGTTACTAGACCGAAAATGCCTCAGATTAGCCACTTTCAAACTCACACTAATACCCTGAAAAACCGGGACGTGACTAGGATTAGTAGCTATTTTGCCATATTTGTTGGGACTGCTTAGGTTGTTGGCTTTGCGGACCACCCAGGTTGGCTTCCCGAGGATTTTGTGGCTGATGTTCCAATGACATGCCAGTCTGAGATTGGTAGAAATTAGGATAGCCAAGGGGTCCAAAATGCTGAGAAGGCTGTTGTTGTTGCTGCGGCTGCCTTTGCCGAAATCCACCTGGTTGCTGTTGATTCTGTCCCTGCAAGCTATAATAGGTGCTTGGAGGAACTGCAGACATTGTTCGAGAGCCAGGCCCCTGAACCCACATGGGAGAATTCTCGTTCTAGCAGAAAACACCAAATAAACCAATTCAGCTTTACATATAAATAGCATTGTCAAGAAGTAAACCAGGTTCGATGTTATATTCTTTCCTTACCCCCACCTCCCAAAAACCAACAATTCATAGTTACATAATCGTGCAACAATATTTACCTAGCCTTTAAAAGGACCATAGTTTTTACAATCATAAATAGAAAGATTAGCAGGCCATTTCTGCTTGAATCATCAAGATGGCTGCAAATTGACAACTTTAAGATAATTGTTACAGGAAAAGTAGTAGCTACATGTATATGATTTTAAGATCCAGATATTTGTACCTGCTGAAGTGAAATCATATGATTGTTGTCCTTAAACTGGGAGTTTAAAACGTCCTCATATCCAATGGATGTCCCAGTAGGAGCAGCAGGCGGATTCAAAGAAAAATTTCCTCCAGGAATGCTTGTTGAACTGCCAAAGCCATATCCAGGTGGAATAGCAGCAGACTGAGGCAAGCTGCTGACAGAAACATTGTTTTTATACTGTGGAAGCATTGCTGCCAGAGATTGGTGATATGTGCTATTCCCAGCAAAAGTCTGCTGAAAAGCTGATGGCATATACGTATAGCTCTGGGGCAAGAATGGGTAGCTAATCATATTAGCAAAATGTCCCAAAGGAAGAGTAGGTTGGGAGTACGGATGCACAGCAAGGTGTTGAGGAAGTGTAGGACCAGTAGCAACACTTCCACCAGACAGGGTTTGTGCGTTAGGTTGAGGAGTAGAAATGCCGCTAGCTCTAAGAGCCTGCACATTGACGAGAAATTATCAAATGTATTTCAATTTTTTATCTTATCCTATAACAATTTCAAAATAGAGATGCAACAATTAAACCTGCAAATGTAATCATTAACAAATAATTTAAATTCAGAACAGGATTATTAAATTGAGATTCAAATCAAAAATCGGCAAGCTAATTTCAGAATCATGAATCATAATTTGTATTGAATCGTAAGATTCAAATACAATGAAAAATAACTTCATATGATAAATGTAATGATTTTTTGGTATTAACTTCAATGTAATATTTTTTTGTCATTGAATTCAACGTAATACTTCTAATAAAAATAATAAAACTTAATCATAAGCCTCAAAAATAAAATTATTAGTTATATTTGAGTTTGTGAAGCCCCTCTCCTCTGGAAGAATGTAAACGAAGCAATGAAATAACCAAATAGAATGGATAAGTGACAAATAAAGTAGTGGAATAATCAAATAGGATAAATTTAGAAGAGTTCCTTCAATTTCTTTTCATTTAACAATTTAGCTTCTATGACTTTCTAATTTCTTTCACGAGAATTGGTGAAAAAAAGTAAATAAATAAATAACAAATAGTTTAATCATGCGCTTTGTTTCAATAATACAAAATTGCACTGATTCATTGATGTAAAATTCATCTTATGATATGATGAATCGATAGAGAGCCAAATCGAATTGAATCATAGGATTTGAATCATGATTCATGAATAGTAAGATTCTAATAAGTAATAACTATGATCCAGAATACACGCCTGACCAGCTCTGCAAGCATTTCCTCCATATGAAATCCATCAATTTGACCAACGGTAAAGGAATACTAACATAACAATCTCATTTGAGTTGACTACTGGATGTCAGTCGGTATTAACTAATGGACAAAGTACTCAAGTTTATATTTGGTATGTAATACATACTCTACACCAATATTTAACAATTAACATGATAGCCAGGGTGAAATTTGTGACACAGCTTAATGAATAATGCATTAAAAGAGTTTAATGGAATACCACCACACACTTCAACATTATATAAACCAGAATTTTTAATTCTACTATGTACTCTTTAGGCTAAGAATGATCTATAATTCAAACTTAACAGCTCTCAAAAGCCAATATATAGAGAAACTTAAATAAGCTTTAGAGCAGAAGTGCACCTCTGACATGGTTATTGTGGAACCACCGATAGAAGAAGCAATGTTACTATATTTTGTAGGCATTGACTGTGTTGCAGGGAAAGGTAAGTACGGGATATCTTCCCTTGCTGTTTGAACGGTTGAAGCCAACAGAGCACTGGGCAAAGAATTTGTATGTGCCTGCTAAAATATTGACAGTAAAATTTAGATGTAGATAGCAGAATTGCCAGATAGAATTGCAAATACACAAGACAGAAACCAAAGCAATATCAGATGTTATCATATTAAAACGAGAAAATGGTATGCATAATAATATAATTTTAGGTGGGAGAAAGCAATGTATCTATATTAAGCTTATGTATGGCAAAGTAGAAGTTGTTTGACAATTTAGTTTAAAAGCTCCATTTCATAGTCTTTCGTTCAGGATGTAAGGGAGAGAGAAGCTAAGGTATGCAACTTATTTTCAAAAACTACTCATTTAGCTTCTTTGGAACTCTGTCACCCTGCTCTCTGGTCTCTAATCTGTTCACATAAAGAGGAGTATATGTTCTGTTTTGTAGTTTTTTCAAATATGTCTATGCTTGGTTTTTTCTTTCTGTAACTGATGTGTGCTGATAGGAGTGGCCTTATGTTTGCCCTTTCTTGCTGTACTTTATTTTTTTTCTTTTATATTACTTGACTTTTATTGTTATTAATTTCCTTATTATTTGGCTTAAAATTATGAATGTCTTAAATTATAGATAATTTTTTTAATTTTGAGCATTAATAGATTTGTAATATAATTATTTAATTTATACCAATAAATCTCATAATAGTGGTCATCCTGGTACCCTACCATAGAGGTTTTGGGTGGGCCACTCCACACCACTATAAGGGATTGATTACTGTGGGTTTAACAACAAAAAAATTATAGAAAACCCACTATTATTTTCACAACCAAAGGTTTGACAGAATACAAGGTTGATTTACTCTGTAAGATAAGGATCAATGCACAGCACTGGAAATCCCAAAGTTTTATACTACGAGGTATCTAATTAGGCTTTGTTTTAGTGGGGCAAAGCCTTACAATCAGCTGTTTTCGTGAAGGATCAAATTTATCCTTCAAAAAAATTGCTTCAGAACACATGGCTTTCACATTTCAAGCCATGAAAAATCTAATAAAATCAGGTCAATAATCGTTCTAAACTAATTCGCAGAAGATCCAAAATATGACAAAGCCATAAAACATGCAATACCATTACACCAGAGAAGGGAGCAAGATTCTGTATCTGTGAGCTGGTCTGCGAAAGAGGAAATGTGACTTCTGGTGGTTGGCCATTTTCATAAGTAAACCCATGAGATGATGAAGGAAATGAATACTGATTTTCCTGAGCAATTTCAGGGGATTCAGATTTTAAAGCCTCTTGTTGTGAAATGGAAGTGTGTTCATAGGTCCCAGCAGCACTCACGCCAGTTCCTTGAACTAAATTTTCATCTGAGGTAGTAGTAGCAAGATGCTCATCTCCGTAATAGTCAGGATTTCTGCAAGAAAGATGTCTTTAAGGAAACTAGAAAAATTATAATATTGCAAGTTTGGAGAAAGTATACTATTATATTAGCAACATACCTGGCATCTGAGTTTTCAATTGTTGAAACATCTGTCGCACCAGATGTATCCTCCAAGTTACTTTTCAAGGGCCTAGATGTTAATGGCTCAGATCCAGAAAGGGGTTTTCCAGATCCAAAACTTCCAAAGCTCAGATTCATGCATTCTGGAGTATGGAGTTGTAGGTGATTTGGAATTACAACAGAAGGATTGTCATCCCCATGTTCTGTCCCCTGATCATCTCTCTGTATATTTAACTGCTCTATGTTTGCAGCCACTGATGAAACATCATCTTCAGCTGAAAGGAAGAAATTAAGAATTAAGACTATACACAGGCACATATCTAAAAGATAAAATTATGAACCGTAAGTGTAAAGCATCCTATAGTTTCCATTGCAATTGTCAGAAAAAAAAATAAATGAAAAAAATATGTCTGAGATTGGCAGGAACTTATGTCCATATACACCATAAAAAAAATGGATGTACCTTCTGTGTTATCCTCTGACGTACTTTTAGCAGACATAGAAGCTGAGTCAACATTGTCTGATTTCTCAATGGAACCATCTTCAGCTCCATGTTCATCCAAGGGAGTTTTCTGCTGCCATTCAGCTTCAGCAAAGCTTGATGAGTTCCCATAGTACTCGGAATTTGCATGGGCATCAACGTCCGCATATACTCTAACATCATGTTGGTTCTCAATACAAGGCCATTCATCATTCCGTGGAACATTGTCACCAATGGAATAGTCTTGATTAGTATTTGTTTCCGAAACCTTGGAAGCATGACCTTGCAATGAATGCAAATGGTTATCTGAAGCAGCTGGAGGCATCCAGACATTCTGATGATTACCACTCTGGATGCAAGAGTTGTGCATGGATGATCTGGCCTGTGGCCTACCCATCTTGACAATGTCAGCCATTGATACTTGACCTGCATTCCCCGTCCATGCAGATTGCAGTCCAGCACGTTGTGATGATGAAGATGGTCCATCACCAATGCCTAATGCATATGTTTTTTCGGTGACTGCAAAATCACTGCAACAATTTTGAACATAAATGAGACATGGGAAGTAGGAACTGCACCCTGGCCACACAATAATAGCAGTTTTGTAACCAAGTGCATATAGGAACAACCAACACAGACAATTTAATGCTACAAATGATAAGATAACAGAGGAAAACCCACAGAACAAGTCAAATACTTTAGGACTACATTTATTTTCTATACAGTTAAACATTACACATAAAAGTTGCAAAAACCACATCATATAAAAAATTAACAGTCCATTTTCAACCAATTACATTCCAGAGCCAAAATTTTCATTATTAATAATACTCAGTACAGAAAGATCAATGTAGGACCTTAAAGTAATCCAGAGAAGAATTGGCACATGATCATCCACTGTTTGAGAAAATATAAAATCGACACAGAAAATAGATTGTAAGAGTTGGGTGCCTAGACAGCTTACTTTTCAATATAAATTGAAAGATTGTTTCATTTTGTATTAACCTTAGTATGTAGTCAGGCTTGGTTTTCAATTTCATCTTAGAAGTTGGCCAATTTTACAAATGTTTCATAACCATGAGAATCCTTTTAACCATTGTGATACATCTTTCCCATTCCATCAATGTAAAACTTTATTGTGTGTATATATATACACGCATATTTATATATATGAAGGGCAATAGACCTGTGGGATGACAGTCTCCTGTTTGCATTATTTCCCAGCACACTAGATGCAGAAGATGTAGACCCTCCATAAGAAGGTACTCCATTTTCCTTCTTGTATACAGGCTTCCCCTGCAGACCATAATCTGGCCACCCAAAACAGGGCAGAAATTTAAATATCAACAACAACAATAGTAGCAGATAATATCAGTTTTATAAGCCCCGGAGCAATATTAGACTAAAAGTGTATCAGTTCAAACACCAATCATCTGCATACCACTGCTGCCAAATTGGTTGGCACCGCCACGTCCACCATGACGATCTGTGCCAGCCCTAGCGCCACCACGACTAGATGTATTGTTTGTCCCACTCCCACGAGACCTGGAATCTGCTGGGTCCTTAATCTGAACCAACAAGGCCAACAACAGGTAAAAAACAGAGACAGACAAACTCAAACAACATAAGCTGGGGACAAAATACTCAAGTTAAACCCACTCTTCATATCCACGTACAAACTTAACACGTAGATTCACCAATTTTCAACTTATAAACCAAGGCACGTGAACACGCCACATAACACCACAACACACTCGGGAAATTAGAAACATAACTGATCATCAAACACAACATCAACTCTGAATAAAAAATCGCGAACCTCCTTTTTCTTCTCTCGCTTGCTCTTCACCTCATGAAAAGGATCTACACAATCAACAAACCTAGGATTAGAATCAAACAGCTTCAGAAATCCACGTGCAAACTAACGCACGCGTATCTGATAACATCTCTAACAGCATCCTGCGCCACGAAAAATCAAACTCCACAGCCAACAAACAGAACACGCGTATTACGCTCGCTTATTAGTTATTTCTCGCTTTCGCGTAATGCGCAACGTTTCGTCGAAAGTGAAAGAAACATACACAACCGCGAAACAGAAAACGCAGAGAGATAGAGAGAGAGAGAGAGAGAGAGAGAGAGAGAGGAACCTTGTGAGAGGAGGCGACTAACAGCTTCGTTAGGGTCCATGTTACAGTCTTTGAGCGTGGCGTAGATCTCGTGGTCGGGGAAATTGGAGACAATCTCCTTCAAGCTCTGAACCATCTTCCGCGACGACGCCGGAATCGTCGCGGACAGCGCCTTGCCGGTGCCATTGTTGTGGCCGCCACCGCCCTTCCCACTCATCCTATCTCTGTCTCTTTGGTGCACCACCGTACTAGCTAGGGTTCCGCCGCGTCAACAACGGGAATGAAGAAACCTCTCGCTCGCTCGCTTTCTTTGCAAACCAAAAAGCGAAAACCCCTTCTCGCTCTCCCCTCACTCCTTTTCTCTCTGCGTCTACAATATTTTTTTATTATTTTATATTTGCAAACCATTTTCTTCTTTTTAAAATAAATCATATTTGAAATTCGATCCCAACTAATTATATGCTTTGAGTTTATCTTATGTCAACCAAATTTTCATATGACACGTTGTTAGTGATTTTTTTCATAAATTAAAAAGTATAGTCACATGTCACATAAAAATTAATGAAGAACATTTATTCTTAAAAAATTATTTGTCATAAGACCGCAAGAAATTATTAGATGATTTAAAATTATGTTATTGATCAAATTCTATACAATACACTATATATTAAGTGATGATTTTTTATCCATAAGATATATAAGTATCTCAACATAAATTTAAACCTTCATTCACGTTATTCTTAAAATATATTACCTATATGTCTCTATATATACAAGACTTTTTTTTTCTCTTTTTATAAAATTATTTTTAATTGTTAATTGTATTAATTTTTCTAAAATATCATTTTCTAATTAATAATTATTTTGGATCAAAATAATAAATATTTGATATTAATTAGATAAAAACTCTCTTTTTTTATTAAGATTAGAGTTTCAAATATTAATTTATCAATCTTATATGTTAAATACAAATGTTTATATTACACAATATTTTTAATAACTTTTCTTCAATGATAAAGTTTTGAATGAAATTTTTAAAATTTTAATCATTTAAATTATTATTTTTCATAATTAATTTTTAATTAAATTTTAATATTTTAAAATAAATTATCAATAAATAAAATATATATTATACTATAATTGTTATTATAAATTTAAAATATAATTTATATGTTTAAAATATTTATTTATATAAATATTAGATATAATTTACATATTCAGACACAATATTTATTTGTATATAATTTATTATAAATTTTAGTTATATATAATAAATTTTATACTAAAATACTATTTAAGTTAAATAGATTATGAGGTTAAAAAAATACTAATTTTTAAAAAATAACTTAAATTATTGAAAAATTTAATACTCTTAATTAAATTAACTAATTTTGTTTAAAAACATATATACTTTATAAAAGGTCTTTTAAATAATTAGAGGACATAAAAAGAGGGGAATGATAAGGTGGTTTGGTGGTGAAGGAGGTGGTCCTGGGGCGGAGGGATAAGGATGGCGGGAGGTTCGAACCCCCTTTGACCCACTAACAACTAACAATTAACTTTGGCCGTTTCAAAAAAAAAAAAAAAATATTGTTTCATATTTATGGGTTAATTGGAGAGAGATTAACTTAATAGGATCATAACAAGAGATTGGAGCAATTTGAACAAATTTTTAGTTCCAATTTATGATTTTTATATCATATATTTGTTGTTGAAACTAGAACTAGTGTGAATTTTTGTTCATGTGGATGGGAGTGAATGATTTTGGTGGAGTGTTATGTGATGCTTTTGATAGGTGGTTATTGGGCTTCTTTAATGATACTGAGATGAGTGATAGAGTAATTGACAATCTGGAATGAGTTGCAGGGTCTCCTGAAATCAAGGGTACAAGGAGGTGTAGTGTATTTCAGACTCATCAAATGCTCTTTCTCTCGTTATAGATGAAGAAGTGAGTCCATTTCACATATATGTTAGCATTGTTGCATCCATCAGGGAAATGAAGCAATGGGTTTGGAGTGTTGGGTTTCGTTGTGTTGACTATCTTGTTAAGTGTGACTCTAACTTTGGACAATTCTTGTAACAGGTGCTACCAGAACTAGTTTCTTGCATTTGGAGTTTTTCATTTGGTTTTGGTTTTTTTTTTTTTTTCTCTTGTAGAAAAAAAATAGAACTAATATTTTAATCTATGTAATATATAAGTATGTTTATCATATATAATCAAAATTTATAATAAATTATATTTAAAATTTATAATAAATAATTTATATTGTAGTAGAAAATTATTTTTATTTATTGATAATTTATTTAAATATTAATATTTAATTTATAAATAATTATGATAATAAAAATTTAATTAGATAAAAAGTTAAGAAAATCTTTTTAAATCTCTGTATTTAAGAAAAATCTTTAAAATCATTCTGATATGATATAATAGACCTTATTTAATATAAGGATTGATTGAAATTTAATATATAGATTTAGAGATTGATTGAAAGGGGAAAAATTTGTGTTTTTTTCTGGTTTTATCTTCTAAAAGTGCAAACAATTTTTTTTTTCTTCTCAAAATTATGTATTTAATTTTATTAGAAGACAAACTAATCATATTAATCATACTCTTAGTAAAACACTAAAAAAAAAAACCTGCAAGTCACCACTATTTTTTATTTAATTTTCTACTTGTATTGAGAGTCTTATTTTTAATGAAATAATATAAACAATTTCCTATAAAAAAAAATACAAGATAAACATGCAAAATACTACATCTCTATTCATAATTAATATATTTCTCAAAGCACTAACAACCATCAGTATTGACTTTGTTTTTTTTTTTTTTTTATTAAATTTAATAAATTAATAGTATATTTAATAGTTTCAAGTAAAGGTTGCTTAAACGATTAATATTGGATAGTGTAATTAATTATTTTAAAAAATATTAACGCCACCATTGACTAGTATTAAATTACGTTAATGTTGTTTGACTCAATTAATTATAGTTTGAATAGAACAATTTAATTTTTATTGTATACAAAAATTATATATAATTAAATTAAACGTTACGAAAACAAACATATTAGTCAATTATTAAATATTTAATAATTTTTTTAAAAAAAAGTTATCAACATTGATAAAAAAGAAAAAAGACACGAGAGAGATATTTATATCAATATATATAAAAAAATCCTTTTATAATTATTTTTTTCTATTTTCAATTGGGTCATTATATAAATTATATAATTTGCATGAAATTTTTACAAAATAGATATAGGTTTATCATATATATATATATATATATATATATATGCGTGTGAGAGAGTGTGTTAAATTAATTAAATATAATAACTTTTTATAATTATTTGTACAACTGATTTAAATTGCAATAAAATTGAAATGTTTGTGGTGATTAATGTCATGTCATAACTGTGAAACTTTCTTGCGGTTAACCGTAATAATCGATTTTTTTAGCAAGAGTTTTTAAAATTAATTATGTAATAAATAAAGAATTTTTTTTAGAGGAAATAAATAAAGAATTTAAAAAATATTAAATTTTAAAATTTTTATTGTATTATATATTGTATTCAATAATTTAATAATCACAAGCGTTTGAATATGAAACTCATTAATTTTTTTCATTATGTCACGTTAATATTGGAAAGTAATATATATATATATATATATATATATATATATATATATTTATATATGAGAAAATGATGATTTATTCCATTCAATAACTCATGATTTATATCATATTTTAATAATTCAAATGAATTCTTATTTTAAGAATCTTCATCTTTAATACCCGTTTAAAAAATGTCATAATGAGTTTAATCAATAATTAATATTATATTTTGTATAAAAAAATTAAAACTAATATTTTGAGTAAAATTAATTGGATCAAAAATTTGACATTATAGCAAGTGTTCATTAATTCATCTTCCTCCTCGTAAGTGCATAACTTAAAACCAAATTAAAGTTTAAAATGATTGAAAGGAAAAATAAATATAAAAAAAAAATCAAATTTGATTTCATATTATTTTTCTTCTTGGGTTGAGTCACCTGTCATATGCCTTAATTTTTATTAAGTGATATTTGTTGGTGATTATTGCTATCTTGGTGTGTGATTCTAACTTAGTTGCGAGAATGCTTTTGATAATGGTGATTGGTATCACTTTGTAGCTGATTATCTTTTTGTTTTATGCTAGTCTAGTTGTTCCACCTATTGGTATAAGGTTTTTTATTGTACGGTGTCTGCAAGTTGGTTTCAAGAGGTTTGTATTTATCATGTTGTTTTCATTAAACACCTCTTAATGTCAGAGGTTCACTACTTATTTTGGTTCTGTTGTGTTTATAAGTTAGAGAACCCATTGTACTCCCTATTATTTAATTCAATTTTGCTTAGCAAAAAAAATCAAATTTGAAAAACATTATTTAAAAAAAAAACTTATATTTTTAATTACTTGAATATCATGGAGTTTGATCAATTTTTGAATATCATTGTCACAATCATCCTTTTAATAGTAAAGTTGCAAGATGATGATGATCGGACTATTTGAGGTACAAGTATGAAGATTTTATTCCATTTTGAGAGCAAAATTTTCACATCGAGTATAATTAGTGAAAATTTTCTTATTCAAATAAATAATGAAAGAATTTATAATAATTAAAAATTAATATTATTTATTAAACAAATAACAATAATAATATATTTTTAAAATTCTTACTCTAAATTGTGGAGAACAATGTCAACTAGTTTTTTCTTCTGTCCATTTTTATTATTTTTCTTTATCTCTTTCCACTACATGTCCAGTGACATCTAAATAATTCATGACTTTGACAAAAGTTTATATGGCAAAAAATTCACATAAAAATTTAAATTTTGTAAAATAATATAACTGACTTAACAATATGTCTTCTCTTGTTGTAGCAAGAATGTCAGAAAATGACATGAAATCAAATTGATCATTTGGAATGGCTTTTGTCTTAACTTTTGGGCAAATTGTGTCATCAATGAATTGTAACTTAAATTTGTGATTTGTAAATTTAAATTTTAGATCACTTTCAACTATTAAAATGTTGTCAATCACTCTTGTTAAAGGCCATTGTTGAATTTGTGTACTAATTTTTTCTCTGCACATGTGTGAATCTCGTAACATCCTATTTCTTTTAAAATAATAATATTAATATTATTATATTATAGTCAAAAGTATTATTTACATTTTTACAAGAGAATAATTATTTTATTATATTTATTTATTTATTTAATGAGAGAAGGGAAATGTGTCAGGTTGACCTAATTCAATATGCTTTTAATAAAAGGGTTAGGCACATCTGCCAGAGAAAAGGAAGAGAAAGAATAAGCTTTGAGGAGAAGTGCTTAGA